CCTTGCTAAATAGGCATTATTCCCTTTATCTTCCCTGTACTTCAGGAAGTATTTAGTGTCCTAAAAAGCTACTGATGTTATCTTAACAGTTGTCTGTGTTGTGTAAAGAAGCTGACAGATTTGAATGTCATTAGGCATCTCCTGAAGGAGATAAACCTGTTGTGAGAAGCCAAATTATTAAGATGACTTTCCTTGGCTGTTAAAAAGGGTCCAGTCTTGCTCTCCATCTGAGCTACGTGCTTTGACGTTGCTTTCAGTAAAATGAAAATGCAGTTACTGTTGTTGGATCCTGTGGCTGCCTGGCACATTGTGAGTATGGCAAGACTCTAACTGGGCTTTCGTGCACAAGTTGATGTTCATTGGATACAATTTTTTTCCTTATTTTTTATTTAGACAGTCTATCCCCTGTATCCTGTGCCTAGGAGTGACCTGTGGTAGATGCTGAGGGAAGAGTACAGAGAAGCAGAGAAAACGTATTGAGACATTTTCCTGTGGAATTCTGCTAGTAGCCTTAAGCTGATGATGTACTCTTCACCTTATTTCCTATGTTCAGGTGGGTTCCATGGGTGAAGATCTTCTCTTTTATCCGTAGCTTCTTTGGAAGCCTTTGAAGAGGCACCTTGCAAAACTAGTTGTGCATTCATCACCTGGATCTTCTTGTCCACTTGCTTTAGAGAACTTTGAAGAACTCTCAACAGATTTGCAAGGCATGACTTTTCTTACAAAAGTTGCATTACATCTTAGCCAATGTATCTTCTTTATGACTGCTGATTTTGTTACAGTTTTCCATCTATTTGTCTGGGTCGCTGGGGTGGTTTGTCTGTAGTTTCCTGCCTTTTCTCTCTTTCTGACAACTGCTGGTCAAAGTACTCCACAGCGAACACTCTGTGTTGATCCTCTGCTGAGTAGTTTCTCTGGCTCAGTCTGGTGTTCAACGACAGACAACACAAAGAAATGTCTCCCTTTTCTGCTGGCAGTGCAAGAGTGCGTCCTGCGGCAGCTGTGTGCTCTCTTGCTGGCACCCCTGGGAAGGTGCCACAGAAGGGAAGGAGATGCTGGTTCACGACCTGTTTCCGCACGTCTGCATTTGCCGTGAAGCCTGTTTTACAGTCAGCCGTGGTAAAAGTCATCATCTCTGTTTCCACTGTGATGCTGAAACTGTGTCCTCACAGTGGTCAAAGGGTATCATTTGACATTTCACGTTTTGTTGTAATTTTCAGTGTAGAAAACATTTAACATCCTAGTGGTTTTAACAGTATTTAGCATAAGCAGAGCCATTTTACAGCCATTTTATAAAACATCCTTTGAGCTTTATACTTTGCTGCTTCAGTACGGAGAAATTTTCTCTACCCTTAGACTCTTGCCCTTTCATATAACCTTGGGGTCTTTTTTTAAAGGAGACTGTCCTTATTTTTTTTTTTCTTCTCTTCATTTCTCCTTATAAAATCTTACGTTTGTGATATGCGAGGTGTGCTTTTGCAGTAGGCAGCTGGAAACTCAAAGTGATCAGTATTACTGACGCACCAGGAAAGGTGAGGTATTGATACCTGTAAAGTTTCTGTACTTTCTTATCTTTTGCACTATGTTTTCTTGTCTTAAAAGTACTCTTTCACTGTTTAACTGTTTCTTTATGTTTTTTAATCCCTAAGCTATGTTTTAAGTTGAACTCGGAACTGCATCTTCTTGCATCAAATACTTTCATTAGTCAGAGGCGTTTATCAGAATTTTTCGAAGAGTTTTTGTGGCATATGAAAGATTTGTAAAATATTGAAAAGAAACTTCTGCACGACAGCCATTGCTATTGAGCCACAACTTCCCACTGTCAGCTCCAGCCTGACTTTAATCTTCCTATTGCAGGGGCGTAGAGGTAGCTAGCACAAACCACCCTTTCCTCCTTACTCTTTAGATTCCCCTCACCCCATCCCCCAGTGTTTTCCCAGCTAGTTTTAGATTATTGTGTCCTTGCCTCCTTAGAGCTATTTTGGGTAAAAATCACTTTGTTTCATATGAAGTTTGCCTGAGAAATAATGCAGGACAAGACCCAGATGAGCACCTTCTGCAGAATTTTAGCAATTTACACTCCTGTTTGTATGTATATGTAATATATGAAATTGTTATTGCATGTTCTACTGGCTAGAGCCAGGGGAAGCTGTGTCTCTTCTAAAATGTAGTGCTAAGGCTGTAGCTTGGTCTTACAAAGTTTCTTGACCTGTCCTTTCCTCAGCTCCCTTACCCAGGAATAAATAGTATTAACTGGTCTTTCTGAGGTGCTTTAACACTTTGCATGGAAGGTTTTCTCAAAGCGCATCGTGGTTTTGCTTTGTATCGTGACGCTGTTAGCCGGGCACCCCGCAACCGTTGTGCCAAAATAACAGAAAGCCATGGTTGTATTTTTATGTTGTTAGTTGCAGAGATATTTTCTTTATCATTCTCAATTCCAGTTGCACATATCACAGCATAAGAGCTGTGGTTCTTCAAGATGATAAATAGCTATGCTAATGAAGCCAAGCATAAAAGCATTAAGGTATGCAAGGAGTTCAGAACTAAAGTAACATAGATCTTAAAACTGCTGATGTCTGTAAACACTGGTTTGCGACAGTTTTTAATATGTGAAATGATGCGCGCTCAAGATCGTGAATCGATGAAATTATAGTGAAGGGTGTAAGATGACAGCATAAACCAGAGAATGGCAGCAGTGCCTAGTTTGTGCTACTTATCTCTGCTTTGACAGCATTTTCTATCATAAATCTGTTTGTTTTAGAACTAGGCTATAAAACCTTACGTCAGGCTAAAATGTAGCAGTATATGGTGTAGTTCAAAAATTGTGCTTTTATAGAAAAATACATCGGTAATTTGTAAATTAAAATTGCGGCACTAAAAATTATTTACATTTCTTTTGCACTCTTAGAACTTGTGCTTTTTGCACTGGATTTATATTCCATATAAATCTGTGTGATCAATGCTGTTTCAAACTTGTCGTCCCCCTGCCTTCATCAAATTCCTTTTGCAGTGAATTTTATGTATACAGGTGTGACTTACTCTTAGAAAATACTCCTTCCTACTTTTTGTAATTAGATGGGGGAACTTGCTGAAACTCCACAAGAAGTTGATGAGACTAAAGTGGGGTTTGGGTTTGTTTTGTTTAAAAGACTGGATGTGTACACGGGTAACAAGAACACATAGTTATTATTAACAGGAACTGAAAATGGAATATTACAATCCTTATCTTCACTCTGTTAAAAATTGGGAGACCTAATGTCAGTTTGTCCCATGTTTCTCCTTCACATTCTTAACACTTCATCTGATCTACTTGGCATTGACCAGTCTTGCAGACAGGAAAGGGGCATGTGGAGCACAGCGCAGTCTGGAAAGTCCCCACACTTCTACTGAACACTAAAAGTAGATCAGTGTAATCTACTTTAAAATGATTTGTTTTTAACAATAACGTAACTAAACATTTAGCATACACATCCTGCTGCCCTCGATTAATGGAAAAACTAAGAGCTCTACTTCAGAATGACGAGATCTTTTTATTATTATATCGCTAATAAAATAACAAAAGGATGGTGGCATCAGAGGACCTACTGTGATCTGTACCATCTCTTCAGTCACATTAGAAATGATCTGTAAATCAATTTGACAGAGTTCATCAATTTGAGCAATATATGCCGGATACACGCCCCAGTACACATGCTGAAAGGGATGTTCAAATTACCATTAGTTCAAAATCCATTCCGTTTTTTGTAGAATGTTGTGAAATCAAGTGGAAGGAACAAAACACAGTCAGTGAAAGAAGGAGAGTTAAACACCAGCTGACAAGAGACAGGTTACAAGGACTTGGCAATAGTAGAGCTTTGCATTCAGTTTGTATGCTGAGTGGTGTGTACCAGGAAGAACACTGAAAGAAAACTTTTAAGGCAAAATAGGTTATAGTTTCTTGCTTTTTGATAGTGGGGAGGGCTGCAGCAAGGAGAGTGGCTCTTGGAGGCCTGTTGTGCGGGTCCAGGCAGTGTTACGGGGGTAACGCTGTTTTGCCCCTGACAGGGCAGTTCACTTTGTCCCCAGAGAATCAGGGTATCTGTAGGGCAGCTGCAGCTATTGCTATCCAGTTTTGGAAAGAGGAAGACCATGGGTCGTAAGTGGGTTTAAATGATGGTGAGTTCAGCCTCCGTGCTATGTATCGCCTCTGAGGTTCAGCTTCTTGATTTAGATGTTTTAAGGTAATACCTTTGTTCTAGCTTTAGTATTTGCCTAATGAGACACACCTTTCGTCACCTGAGGTAAATGTTTCATGCAATAATTACTCCTACTGATTACTTTGAAGGAATTGGAGATTTAGCATTTGTGAGGCAAAAGGAAAAATAGTACTGTAACTGAAATCTTCTTTATTCACAAGCCAAATGTAACCCGGTAATTCACACGGTGAGGTTCTATATACAGCACTAGCACTGTCCACCCCGCTGGGTTGCAGGGACTCACCGTGCACATGTACTTCACAAAAAAACTGCCAAGTGTAATTTTGCTCTTTTCAAGGGGAGAGTTTTGTATATGTGGAACTCTTTTCACATCCCAACTTCAGTGCAATCCAGGATCTGTGAGATCAGCGATGATCTTGGAACAGTGGAAGGCAGAGGTTTTTGCAGGTGCAGGTTTGTAATCCTTTTGGCTAGTATGGCTGGTATTGTAGTACCTGGTAGAGTAACTTCTTGATTCCAGAAATTTGGTCATGTTTCAAGGTGTTGTTGCCTGGTTTGTAGCGTGTTGCCGCAGGAGGGTTGCTCCCTCAGCCTCTTGCAGGACTACAAGAGGCAAATCAGAACACGACCCCTCCAGCCTTAGCCCAGTCTCTTCACTGAAAAGCATGCTGCTAGAGACAGGGATTTTTTTGGATAAACTTTGCCCTCCTTCCTCCCACCCCTAATTAAAAACCAGCAGCTTGATAACACAGCAGCAAATGCACATTAATATCAAACAGAATTTTCACTACTGTTTTCATATTAACATGAGATGTCAGAATGTAAAGTTAGCTAGATCTGCACATGGGACCATTCTTGCTGTTAAAGGCTTTAGGCTGGAACGGAGCCCAAAATTTTTAAAAGAAATGCAACATTTCCAGATAAAATATTAATTACATGCTATATAGAATCATATTTTTCAAACAAATTTTATAAATAAAAAGCTAGGCCTTTCAAACCATCAGCAATCTTGATTTGGGATTTGAAAGATTATGAAAGATAGACAATCACATAACTGTGACTTAGAAAAATACTGGCCTAGGTTGCATAAAAAACCTCCATTAAATAAATAGCGTAAGTTTTCACTATGAAAATTCAGTGGCATTGTACTTTAAAAAACCGTAATGATTAACCAGCCGTTAATGATACTCAAGTTGTTTTTCACAAATCACATACACATATAGGAAGTCAGATGGCCAGAAAAGGCTATATACTGGATTAACACAGTTTGACAGAAAGTACTCTTGATACGCTCTGCTCCTTCATCGTAACTTCCTGACTGTTGTTGCAGTCATCAGCTGCAAATCCTGTTACCCTTCTCCTCTGGGTCGCCTTGCTGTCCCAGAAGGTCCAACACCCCAAAGGCTGATGCAGTGGGTGACTGTGATTGCGGTCTTGTGCATTCATCCCTCAGACCACCGGTTTAATCTCAGGGTGATTTACAGTGAGTGGTTCTGGTTTCCAGTCTGGTTGGAAAAAGTGAATATTGAATGTCCGTGCCCAGTTCTCAAACACGCGTTTCTCTGTGATGAAACGATGATGACTGCCCTTTCGTCCCCGCTCGTGTGAAATGTACATTGTGCATTCATCAGGTCCCAAAGGTTCGTAATAATGATAAGGTACGGAAAGATGATTAGGATCCCTGTGGAAGAAAGAAAATAGATGGAAGCCTGAGATGTTCTTTTTCACTGATTGAAAAGATGCTATCTTTAATAAGCTGATGGGCTCAAATCCACTTTTTCTCCCAGTTAAATCAGATTCCTAGGTAGGTATATTTTTCTTGCATATTTAATATATCAGAATGGTGCAAAGGTGTTTTCTTTGCTCTTTCTGTTGCTCTCCTTTAATCCCCTCCTCCCAGTTAAATAAAGGACGGCAGTAGCTCAAAAACAAGAGTGCGCGCTGCAGGGCTGTGTTATTACTCTGAAATTTGAAGCAAACTGCTTAAGAGATTTATATCTAGATTGTGATTTGTAAAAAGCCTTGCAGAGGTATTTACTGAACTGGGGGAAGAAAGGGGAAGCTAGAGGGGAGGCGGTTATCTGTGTCGCATCAGCTCAGTCGAACATTCCCAGCATGGTGCGTGAGGTGCTGAGTGCACAACTTCAATGAGCCTGTCTGCGTGCCAGGTCAGTGGTACAGTCTGCTATTGCTGGGTTTACAATCAAACATCTGATGCACAAATGAGTTCTTTTTTATTTTACAGTCACAACTTTCATGTATCTAAGCTAAAAATTAAAACCATTCACCTGCAGTATCCTTCTGACCTTGTAAGCCCGTTGGCATTAACCAGCAGGAGATGCAGTACTCATGTGGTGACACATAGGATACACCAAAGACCAATTAGATATTTAGGATAAAGTTCATTTTAGCAGTTCTAACCTCAATGTTTTGCTGTTACAGGCACATTTGTATTAATTTGTATTCTAATAAGCCAGAGTGATGTTTTAGTCTCCTTTTGTTTTATTCTCTACATTGAACTGTACCCATTACAGTTTTACTTTGGGCACGGGCATTTGGGGCTGACAAAAGCCCATACAACCGTCTGTCATAAATGCAAAGAGAGAGAGCTGTCCCAGACAGAATAACCCAACTGTACCAATCTTTGCAGTTGCTACCAACAAACTATTTCCTAGTGGCAGAAAAGTTAATCTAAATATTACTATTTAGCGAAGCCTTGGAACTGCTCTGTGTTAAAGTCTGAGCTGAACAGGACCGTAGTACAGAGCAGGAAATCTCATGCAGATTCAGGGCTGTCAGCTCTAATACAGAGTTGATTATTTTCATTTTGAAGAGATAATATTTAAGCTCGCTTTCAATTGAATGCATCCACAATCTGTCAGTATTCTGTCCTGGTCATTATTTTTACTGTGTAATCCTGTCACCTACGCAATTCTCTAATTTTTCTTATTTTACCATTATCCATATTGTATATGCAGTGGTAATGTATGATATTGCTGCTACTTTCCATTTGTACCGTAGATTAATGTTTTAATTCAATCAATCTAGCTTCCTGGTAACACAACACGGTGATCAATCTTACAAGACCAGAATAACAATAAAATTACATTTCTAGAATAAGATGGATTCTAAATTTACTGTATATATTCTCACCGGAATACATAAGAGAGTGAAAAGAAATCCTTCAATACCTCACCTACAGAAAACATATTTGTAACGTAAAAACTACTCTTCATATAGAAATATAATACCTTTTTTTTTTAGCTATAACTATTAGATCTCAAGCTGCAATTATTTTTTCACATACTTTTTTGATACATTGGACCTCCTGTTGTAATCTCTTAAATGAATCATTTGTATGGTTACTGTAAATCTAACAGGATACATTTTAATGTTATTTATTTTTTCCATAGGAACTACTAAACAAATAGGCCTCTGCCTCTGATTTACACTGCTCTTCCTTTCTGTACCAAACCTGGATTTTACTCTTGTGTTCTCGAGGGTAAACCTGTATTGCTTGGTGGATATTTGCTGCTTTAAAGTTAGGATTAGTAAAGTTGAAATCATATCTCCGACAGACTTTGAACAAATGCGGTCCCAAGGGAAGTAAGTTAACTGCTCAGGAGCGAGTGCTGCACCGTGAGCCTGCAAGGCTGCTGGCCCCGACACCTCTGGGTACATTTGGTTGGGATCCTCCCTCTGCTGCCCCACCTCACCCACCCCACCCCCCCTTTTTTTTTATGAAGGCCTGAGTTGGGTTTGCAGAACATAAACTGGAAAAGCAAAAGGCAGGAAATTAATTGCTCTATTCTCTTACCTACTCCTTTGCTGTACACTGAAATTAGTGATGGATGATCGTGATAACTGGAATCAGATTTCTCACAGAGGATCTATAGGAATGCTGGTCTTTTTTTTCCTCCACACACACCCCAAAGTGGATCAGGCAGGTGGATCAGATGGAGAGAGAAAGGAGAGAAGGCTTCATAGTGGTCCTCCTTCTTGTCCCTCACTGTGCTAACTTAGTATTTACCAAGGGTTACACTCTTCTGTTACCTCTTTGAAGCAATATTTTGAAGCCTTGAAGAGTAAGTGCTTTCTCTCTTATGTTATCGGTATTCAACCAGTGGATATTTTAGCAATGGATTTCCCTTTTGAAGACAGGGATTCCACATTACATGAGAGGCTCTGAAGCTAACACCAGAGTATCCTAAGTGGATGCCCTTAGCTCCAGGCTGTAATGGGTCACTACATTTTGTGCAATGTCATGTCAGAAACAGTACAGAAACACCTGCAGAGGGCCTGGCAGGGAGCGAGGCAGAGGAGCCCAGTCCAGGCACCCTGCTGGGTTCAGGCATCCCCTGATAGGTGCTGTCAAGGCTTGTATGCACGTCTACTGGCTGAACTGGAGGTGAATTTAGTGCAAAAAATGAAAATGCTGGTGGCTTTAGACCTCTCCAAGACTACTCTGCAGCTGACTAAGGCTTCGAGGCTAAATTCCAAATGTTCTATTTTTGATTTAGGAACTCTGAAAGGCAGTTAGGTACCTATCATGTTTTGTCTGAAGTCTTTCTCCTTTCATGGGAGTTCTGGATTCCCCTAGACTGCATCCTAGTAAGGTCTGGATTTGAACTCTGGCTTGAGTAACTACCCCGTAACCCAAATTAACTGTACTGTGTTATCTTCTAACTCTGCAATTAGCTTGTGTCACCAGCAAATGAAATGCATGAGTAATTTCTATACGGAAATTGCTTGCCACCTCATTTATTAACATTAAAACAGATGCTGTTTTATCACTGACTGATACTGGACATTAATCAGTATTTTGTCAGACTTTGCATGCATATTAATATCACAGCTGGGAGGAATCTAGGAAAGTTCCTCTGTAAAATCTACTATACTTCCTGCCTAATAGCCTGCCAGCACAGCAGCCGTGCAAGTGCCTGTACCCAATGTCAGTCATCTACTGTTTGCCACTTCAGTGCACATTTTCCCACAGATGGTATCCACCCACAGTGAAAGCTGAAAACACAGCAAACAGCGATTGCCTCAGAAGAAACAAGGCAGAAAAACAAGGCCATCCCGTATCACATTCTGGTCAACCTCTTCCTTTCAGAAATGAAGAGCCGTTATAAATCAACCCACTAAAACTATACGTACTCACACGCTTTGTAAAATAATTCATACTTTGAAGGCTGAATAAAGTTTCATTAATATGTTGAGTGATGGGCAAGGAGCTAGGACTATGAAGATTTCTGGGTAATTTCTTGCCTTCTATTCCCATGATCCCATTTCCTTGACCTCCATACTGGCCCTGTTTTCCAAACCATTTATGCATTTTGTTATTAAGGGAGTGAGGCGAGATCCAGGCATATGGACCAAAGGGCATGACTGTCTCCCACAAAGTTTACAATCCTCTGAGCACCCCTTCTTCCATCAAGCACCTCCTACGTCCCAGGAATTGTAACTAGCAATAACTGTTTCTTTGCACTTGATTTAAAGTAATTGAAAGCGGAGAGAGGGAGGTAGGAAAACACTAGATTTAAAAGCTGTACCCAAAGGAATAAATTAAAGGATTTCAAATGCCAATTTTCAGGCAAATTATCACAGATGGGAAATGGCCTGGCAGTCAAATGAGGATTCTTATAGGAGAATGATCTGGCTCCGTAATTGGAGCAAAAATTATTCATATTAGTTAAAATAAGGCTCAGAATTAAGCTTTAAGTTTCTGTGAGTTCCAGAATGCCCATGAAGAGAAAGGGGGGTTAAAGAGGGCTCTTCTCACTAACACCCTGAGTTTTCCTGGTGTGCGTGAGTACCCAGAGATATCTGCAAGGAACCAACCTCTCCTGCCGATACTCCAGTGCACAGGGACCAAAATTATTACAAACTGCATTAAGGCTTGTCTGGGTCCTTCCCACCGACGCTGCTGAGCAGCCACAAAGCAAAGCAGCAGTGTTGCGGTGCCTTCAGGATTTGCGGTGCTCTCTGTGCACCACAGTCTGGCTGCTGATGGAGGGAGGCAAGAAGAAAATCCTTAATGTCCCAGTTCAGGAGTCAGCCCTGTGCACGTGGCAGGCTGCCAAAGGGAGCTCGGCGACGGGAAATGCTTCCCATCTGGGGTGCTAGTTTGCTCCAGCAAAGGCTGGATTGGATCCCTGGGCACTGGAAAAAATACAGCAAGATGGCTTGTCTTTCTGGCAACAAAAGAGCGAGAGGTCCACACACTCTCCAAAATCTCTGCAATGTGCTCGGAAGCACCCTCTTTCATCTTATTCTAGAATGTGCAAGTCAGATGTATTTAACAGCATGAGAGCAATATCAAAGCCATTAACCCTTACTACAGCATAAATCTGTAGCAAAGTAAAGGGATTCGATATTACATATAGCTTTGCTGTAAAGTACTAGAAATTTATAATAATCAGGTCACCAATTCCAGTTCAGCTATAAAAATCAATGTCCAGTGAAAGTAAATAGAAATGAATCTAAAACATGTTGTCGCAATTAATAGTGAGAAATCTTTCAGTCTGTACTCCAGACTCCCTCACTAGACTATTTTTTTCTACACGGGTGGAAAGCAATTTGGTTAATGATCTTAAGCTAATAATTTGTAGCAGAATCAACAGTGTGATATTCACAATACCTTTGAGATGTCCTTCACGTTACAGATGTGATACTAATTTAGTTCCACGACAGTGATCACCCATACTCATTACTTACTCCACAAATTAATACTTAAAAAATAATGGGTATCTGCTGAAGTTGTAAATTTGGTGACATTAACTTTGAATAGAAGTAAGGAGCGTGCTGGTTTCTTTTTAAATCTTAATGATTGCTGTGCAACTAAAGTACCTATAACCATCTCACACACACGAGAGAGGGAGGGTGGGGTTTTTTGTTGTTTTGGTTTGGGGGTTTTTTTATTCTTTTTTAAATGTGTCGTGGTTTAGGCCAAATCGGCTACTGGGGACCTGGGGGACCCCAGATAGGACCGACAGATGCTCTCTTCTACCCCTCTTCAAAGAGAGAGGCAGAGGAGGCAAAAGAGACTTATGAGTTTAGAAGGAAATAAACTACTTTAATGGAATATTAATAATAATTAAAAAAAAGAAATAATGAAATATATACAAAACCGTATCAAGCTCCTGAGATGACAGTCACGACACCGGCTGGCACTGGGGCAGTCCCAGGCTGGACTCAGTGATGGATGGGAGCTGGATTCTGGATCTGTACTCAAGATCGGGATCGCAGGCAGACGAACAGAGTCCTCCTCAGACGTTGGCCATTGAAGAAAGAGAGCTGACCCTTTGATCCCTCAGCTTTTATACTGAGCATGAGGCAGATGGGATGGAATACCCTGTTGGTCAGTTTTGGGTCACCTGTCCTGTCTGCTCCTCCCCGCAGGTGGGACCCCACTATGCTTCTCTGCTTCTGACCCTCCAATGGGGCAAATAACAAAGTCGGTTGGCCTGGGGTGTGATAGCAGTAAGTATAAGCAAGAGCCTCTCTGCATACCATGCCTGGGCATCAGCTATAAACATAGGTCTTGAGAGAGTGAACATTGCACAGCATGCTGTTAATTTCAGTAGTTAGAGAGGCCCAGCTAAGAAGCGAAGTTACTGAACAAAATTGGTCCTGTTTTACCTCAAACCAGGATGAAATGGCAGATTTGTATTTTGTCTGACTGAAAACCAGGAAATATGGCTTAAAATTACAGAGTATTTCTTTATTTCTGCTATTCTATTTTATTAGTCTTATTTCTTTGAAAGGAAGCACTGTTTTGCTCTTCAGCCATCATTAAGACATTAACTAAGAAGGTTAACTGTATTTATGGTAAGAGGTTCCTTTCATAGATCTTCATGGATAGCTTCTTCCAGGCACGGCAACTGCACTTTTCCCCTGCATCGTCTGGGGAATAAACCTGAAGTAAAGATACTTTATATTCTTTTGATTAAGAAATGACCTTTTCCCTTTTTTTATGACCTGGTAAGTGTACCTTCATGTTAAGATTTTTTTATGCAGGCCGTGACCATTATTACATCTATCAATGGTAGGATTGATTACAGCCTTTCTTGTGTTATAAATCAATATTATACGCATTTGATTTCAGCGTACCAATTCTATGAAAGTCTTTCTATGGTCTCAGTGACAATTTTAGCCTCTCTTAAAAACAGCTGGTTGTTTATTTTAAGTATATGTATCTAAACTAATCTGACTTTGCCTGAGATGTTAGGACTGAGCATTGCTTCACAACGAATTGCTGTCTTCTGCATTTTTACATCATCAGTTTATTTAAGAATTACTTCCATGTGCCAATAGAATACAGCCACTTCGGGAGTCAGACAGACCAGCCACTTACAGAAACTGAAGTGTTTCTTGGCCAACTGAAATGACAGGGGAACTGAAATGCTGTGCTGTCGAAGGTATTTATGTTGTCTGGAATATCTGATCTAGTTTGTTATTTCCCTTGGAGAATTCATAGTGAAATCTGGCAGTACATCACAGCATTTATCATCAGTGCTTTGTTATAATTTGTAGAAATTCTTACAAAGTGGAATTTAGTGTTGACATTTTATATTGTAATTTCTTCAGGGATTTCTACTATGTGCCCAGGACAAATGCAGATTCCCGAATTATCTTTTTCAGTGCTCAGAAGAAAGTCAAAGCAGTCCTGTTCTTTGATAGATGAGCTAACCTGTCACTGCAGCCTTGTTCCCCTTGCCCCTGAAAGGCATCTTGAATTAGTCAGGGAACCAGACTTCAGTGAGATCACTAAAATTTGCAACAGAAAATTCAAGCAAGTACTTCTTAGTGAAAGGGATTCATGAGCTGGTGATGAAACGTTCCACTGATGCCACTGTTCCAGACTGTACCAGCTCTGTGCATGGCTGGGTCACCTAATGGTGCGTATGGGATCGGGACTGGGTGTGGGCACATACCCACATGTTTCTGAAAGGCCGGAGTGCTACGCCTAGTAACGGACGGACAGGTGATACTTGAGCACCAGCATAAAGCTTGCTGATGTAAAACAAGTTTGTATGAATTTATACAGTGCTTTGCATCACATGGGTAACGTGATTTTGGTCCAGTACCAGAAGTCCTGAAGACTGCTTCCCTCTATCACTGATCCACAGTAGGAAACCTTAACCAGCACCTTGGGCCTGAGTCCTGAATGTGGCTGGAGGCACCACGGAGCCGTAAAATGCACACGTGCTGTTACTTTATAAAACAGCATGAAGGGATCACATAGCTTCCACTGGCGAATACCCGTGCTGCTTCCACCACTTGTGTCCCACACCCTGCATGACCAAAATGGGGCATTACAAGATGGATCATCTATTCTGCAGTTCCAAATTCCAGGGCTTTTTGGTAGGGATTATTTAGGAAGCTATTTTACTGGAAGACTGGGATTCATGTGAGAGACATACAACCTTGATTTGAGTTGCATAGAAAGTTCAATTTAGAAACTAGTCACTGTGAGAACTCCGTTCCTCTATTAACTGGGGGGGAAACTTTAAAAACAAATTAAAAGTAATGTTTTCCAGTACTTCTTTTTTGAGATTAATTTCATGCCAATTACTGCATTACTTTTAGCTGATAAATATTCAGAGACTAAAAGAAACCAACAAGATGGATTAATTCTCCCACACTACAAACAAAATTTCTAAATATTTTATATAACATAATTAAATGCTGTTTGTTGTTTTCAGAATCAGATTTTGGTACATGTTAATTAATTGCTTTAAGAGGACTGAAGAGGAAAAAAATTTAAAATATTCAGATATTTATCTGTAACATTCAACCTTGTTGGCTAATAATGGTTCCAAAATAAATCCTACCTGCAGAAATCCGGTGGCACCATGCCATAAACATTTATCCTGTCACAGAGCTCTAACGCGATAGTCATTGTGAACCAGCCCGTGCTAAGCCAAGTGTTGGATATCTTCCTGAAAGCAAAAACATAATTAAGTTTCCAGGCTGACAAATAATTCTTGAGATATCTGAAGCAATTTCTGGGCATTTTTTTTTATTCTTGTGAAAGGTTATGAAAATTGGGCAAGCAAGGCTACTTTGCTCATTCATCTTTTAATGATTTTGCTAGTGTCTTCTGTCAGTGGACTAATCTCTGCAGAAACTGCCCTTGCTGTAATTAATTTTGGGCACGGCAATGTTAATATTTAGCTGACCTTTTAGTGAGTTTACCTTAAGTGACTGAAACTTCATGGCCTATATTTATATTCTTCCGCTAGTAATCTATACACATCTATAATCACCTAATGGAGCTTACACACTAAGTGCTCAGGAAGCTGCATCACGGGGGATGCTGCCTCCCACAGCATACAGAGGAGCCCGTCTGCTGGAGCGACGTCTGGCCTCAAGTGCTTGGTCCAACCAATCTTTTCTCCCACCCCATCCATGATTTGGTTTCTGGATGCTCTCAGCCACTCACTGTGACTGCTGGCAGAAAGCTCTGTTAGCTGCAGCTATGCCTGTCCCTTAGCCAGCCTGGGAAACCTTCATCCTCGGTGCTACCCCTCTGCCTGCCCCAAGTCCCATCCCAGCCTGGTGGGACCTCTGAGTATGAATGATGGTGCTGGAAGGGAGCAGTCTAAGGCAGCTCCTTTCCTGGCCGCCTCTGCAGGCTGGGAGAAATCTGAAAAAGAAGCACAACTGATCCCAGCATTATTTACGCAAAATAGGAGGTATCTCCATGTAACTGCTCCCAGATGTCAGAGATTTACAAGCTGTGCTTAAATTTTGCTGTATGGCAGGTTCTTTTATGCAAAATGGCAACAGTAACGTTTCCTCTTTCCAGCATTTGCTTGCCATTGCTGTTTAGCGTGTAAGACCTGGGTACTACAATGGTTACTGGTTGCCGGGCACACGCACTGAAAGTCCCAGTCCCGTGTGAAGTTCCTGCACTGTCCTTGTGCCTGGGGAGAGCTGGCAGTCTTGGAACAGGAGGGTCAAGGAAATGGCCAGCAAGGAGCATGTCTTAAAAGTGTCATAAATGTATATTTAGGGGAGCCGTACAGGACCAAGTCAGGTACCTCTCGGAAATGGAGGCACGCAGTTGGGTATTCGCTCCAGAGAAAACAAGCTCGCTCAAAGGTCTCCTTTCAAATACTGTTAAAGGAGAGAGCAGCTCTCCCCAGTGGCTCCTCACTCAGCTAGACAAGCCCCACAGGAAGAAGTTCAAGCTTGTGTCATCTGCGTCCCAAAAAGGCCTCAGATTCCTGATGACAGCCTGTCACAGTGACTGGCTCTCCTTTATCTCTTACTAAAGCTGAGGCTCTGTCAGAGCAAGTGCAGGCTCTTGGGTGGCTTGTGGGCTGTGTCAGATGATTGTACTAGTACAGAACCTACATTAACCCCATTCCACCACACCTACATCTGCCTGACACTTGCAAAATGTTGTAACACCACCCCCCCACCCCCCCAAAAAGCACAGCAGAGACCATGAGTTTCTCATCAGAGCAGTCACCTGGGAATCCCAGGTCCTGACCCCAGTTCCAAGGCCATCTTTTGCAATTTACCCAGCGACACTGGAATGCCCAACAGTCCTGGAAGCAGGGACCCAAAGCCACAACAGCCACTGCAAGCAAGTGCCAATATGGAATTCAGCTGGCAGGAGCCAGGAGCCCACCATGCAGCTGCCCAAGCTAATGCTGAACAAGTAGGTGATCTCAAGTAAGTGATCTACAGGGTAGTAGGAGGGAGATGTTTTGTGTCCCTGCCCACAGCAGGGGAGGTTGGAACTAGATGATCTTTAAGGTCCCTTCCAACCTAAAGTATTCTACGATTCTATGATTGAGGAATGCCTCATGTGAAGGTTTCCCATTTCCTCAGTGAATTAAACTATTGCAAAGAAAAAAGAAAAAAAAAAAAAGTGGTGGTATCAATGCTGGGTGCTTAAAAGGCACTTCTAAACATTCTTTAATGAAAAATGCCTGAAAGATGCTGGGGAGCCTAGCTAATTTGTCCTGTCCTTTGTGGGTCACCTGGTAATGTATGAACTCCTGAAACGTACATTTTTACTGCTCCTGACATACAGACTTCCAGGCTAAGGTAGCATTGGAGAATAACATGATTTAAGCATCTCATTAGTTCCAATTATGGGGACTTATTTGTTTTCTGAATTTGCACTTAAGCTTGGGGGGGGGTGGTGCAATTTGTCACAATGTCATCGCTGGGTCATAAGCTCAGTAGGGGCCTTCAGGCACTGCAACAATACAAACCAGTAAATAATAATTTTTGGTTCAAAATTATTAGGAAAGGGAAAGCCAGGTAAAAGCCTAAAAAATTTGCTTTCCTGCCACTTGAGAGTTTCTGAGCCTATGAATTGCTTAAGTAATTCAGGAACGTGTTGAGGCTAAGAGGACTTTGGTGCTTGCACAAGGCCACTGTTTTAGGTACCGAAGCCCTGTCATTCCAAACCCAGGGAGCAGTTCCATCTAGACCATGCCTGAATTAGCTGGCCTTTGCACAGGTCAGGCAGCCTAGCTAGGCTGTCTGCTGCCTTAGTTTTCTTTTTGCTTACATGCATTTATGCTGTAATTCAGTGTTTGCAATAAATAAGAGAATAACTGAATTTAAATAAAGAAGCTTAAAAGCTAAACAATGCAATAAAAATTTAAAAACTTACTCAAGTACCACTTTGGCCTCTTTAAATACTTTGTCTGTAGAACAGCAATATAGAAACAGGGTTACAGTGTCTTGCCTTTTCATAAAAGATCTGAACAAAAGTCTAACAAAAGAATACTGTTTTTATACCTAATCAGCTGTAATGAAAGAATATGAAGAACTGTCATGTGCTTATTAGGGGAAATTATCAGATATTCTTTTATACGATGAACTAACACACGGTGCTGATAATTCTGTAGTGCACACTAAATTACAATTAAAGGCCTTTCTGCTCCACCAAAATCTCATTTATAATCTCTATGGAAATACTCTTCCTGCAGTTATTTCATTTATGCTTCCTTTATCTAATTACTATAATATTGGTTCTGAATCATATTTTCTTAATGTGCCCTTATTTAATTATAAAGTTATTTTCAAGTAGTTACTTTATAATACCAAGTAGCTCGCTCTGCAGCCTTTGTCATTCCCTATACTATTTAACTGGCAATGTTTTCTGAAGATTTCCCTTCATTTCAAAATCAGCTTTTTTTTTTTTTTTTCAAAAAGCACAATACATCGGATTACCTTTTTTTTTCTCATCATTTTCAAGACAGAAATGAATGATTTGATTATTGCAACCTTGCAATCAGGCTTCTCTCTCCCTCCTTTGTTTTTTTGCAGGCAGTAATGTCAAGAGCTCAGCAGAAACCTCCCAGGGAACGGCAACATTCTGGGCTGTACAATGTTCTGCTCCTGCCCCCACAGCTACATAAATTTTCTTCCCTTACAAATTCCTTCCTACCCATGTTTCTTTTCATCTTCCCTCTCTTTTTCTGTGCTGCCTATTCATTTATTTTCATCTCCCGTTTTAATCTTCTTAGTCCTTCAAATATGCTGTATGTGCCCTCTAAAGGAGCGGTT